GGGGGGGGGGGGGGGGGGGGGGGTTTCTCAATCCACTTATGAAGAATATTTGTGCAATTATCATAGAGATAAACCAAGCAGGTTTAGTGTAATAAATCATAAAAACATTTGTGAATTATGATAGAGATTTGAAATCGGATTTACATACTGAGAATTTGAAATCATCTTCAGTTATATAAAGTTTCTCGATCTGCTTATGAAGAATCAGTATATAACATTTAATTTAGTTTATTTTCAAATTCAAATTGTCGTGAATATTTTGTTAGTCTGCAAACCCTAAATCACCTTGGATCAATTTTCTAACTCCAAAAAGATTAAAAACATTCACAAATCCTTACAAAAGAGAAACATGAAACCAGACGTTGAAATTGATCATCCCAAGTCGGGAAAATAAAAATTAAAAAAAAAATTCTTATAACAAACAAGAATGTGGATAATAAACATCATTGGACGTAGAGCAACTCTTGTAGTTACGCAGGCAATGAAAAAACTTTCTTATCCTCGCGAAAAACCGCCCGTTTCTAAGTTTGAAATCCTGCATCTTCTTCAAATTTCTTGCTGATCTAAGCCTCCTGCATATAACCCTTTTCACTTTAATGGGAAATTTATTAAACCGCTCTCTGACAGTTTGCTTCCTACTGAACTTGTAGCTTCTCAAGAATATTTGCCTCTTCTCCATCTTAATTCTGAACGTGACCATTGAATCTGCATTTGTATCGTTAAGTCCCATGCTTAAACACGAAAATTTGTGCTGCGCTCGTATAGAGTTTTGAAGGGTGGAAGAATATATGGCAAATAGATTGAGGGAGAGGGTTTATATATACATAGAGTAAGAAGGAATTGGACTTCTCTAATTTCTTGTATGGTAAGGATAGGACTTCTCTATTTTGCATATTTCGATTGTGGGTCGCTTAACATGGTGAAGTACTTAGATTAGTAGGCCGATTGTTTAATCGACTGGTCACGAATTGAAGTAATATATCAATATTGGTTAACCGTCAATTAAAAAAAAATATTGCATGAATATAATCAAACATCAAAAGTCATAGTGTCCAATATTGAAAAAAAATTATGTAGCATTGTAATTTAATAATGAAAATATCTTAAATAATCTCATTATTGTTTTAAATCAAAATCAAATATATATTTTTCAAATTCTTTTAATTCTGTGTAACGCATTTTTTAGATAACCAATTATTAACATAATAATGATTAATTATTGAAAATTTGAATTTGCAATAACTTCCTTGTGAGAATAATTACTGTCCTAATATTGTTACAAATTTGTATTCACCGTTTTAACTTAATTTCCTCCTTACCAAATATTTGATTTTTATGTTTATATTGGATTATTTTGAAGTTGCAACTATATATGAATGTCCTTAATCGTATATATGTTTATTTTACTAAGATGTGAAATGCTTAATACCAGTCAATTGTTTCGTAAAGCAATTTGTACCAATACATAAAAAGAAAAGTTATGAGACTCCATGATACTCCATTTGCAATTTTATATTTTTAATTGTTTTTACTGCTTTATTTTATGTTTACTTATTTAAAGCGAAGGAAAAATCCATAATTTAATGGTCAAAATAGAGGGAATGACGAGTTTTATTATATAATTGGAACGTTTTGGATTTACAATTCCAAAAAAGGTTGATAGTAAATTTATTAATTTCGCAAAGGTTGAAGAAGAATCGCCCTCGAATCTTTTATTGTGTTTTCAATCAATACCTTGCAATCATCTGCTAGTCCCTTCAACCTAATTTTCTGCTTCGTAATTAAATTTATTTACATCAAATTGATTTCACACCAATTTGGTATACCGTTAAAGATGCCCTTGTGATTTATTTTTAGTATGTGTGTGGCTTTAATTATAAAAAAGCAATTTCATATTTATACATTTAATCTCAACATTTTATGAAACCAATCATATAAATTTGTGAGTTCTTTAATGGAGATAAATAACATTATTCATAAGATTGAGCGTTGGGGGTAATATGTTTTAATTTTATTAATAATAGACTTGGTCTGATGTCAAAGCGGGCATGAATTATAATGGCACGGCAACATTCATTGAATTATGATGGCGTGGCAACAAAACAACGAATGTTGCCACACCATTATAGACGTGAAAACGCAATATCGGAAGTAGTCACGTTCATGATAGACATTATAATTCATGCGCCACATGACAACATCTGTCGATTGCTGTCATTAGATCATTTCTGTTATTAGTAATAATATTATTAATATCAATTATCAAAGACAAGTAGATAATCACTAGACAAGATTTATCGTTCAAAATTGGTTGTCCAACTTACTATTCATTCAACTATTATTGATACTCAATTTAGATTAATATGTTTAACTTTTCCCTCGTTACCACTTATACTTAAAAATATACGTAAAATAATGTGTCAAAAAATATAACAAATTGAACAGCCAATTTTGGAGCATCTCAACTCACATTGCACTACTTAACGATGACAACAAATGCTTTTTAAGTAGCCATTATTTCCTGTCTGTCCCACTCCAGCATTAACACGCTTTCCCACCCCAATTTCATCTCAAATTCGTCTTCAACACCAGCAACAGATCTACTCTTAATCGATCTTTTCCATCTTCTGGAAGTGTTTGTTACCAGTGTTGCAGCGGACGGTTCCCCCAAAATTTCCTCTTTGATTTCACCATCAGGTTAGTCGTATTCTTTCAGTAATTCATTTCTGATTTTAAGATATGTAGTATAGTTGTTATATAACACGCCCATTTCTCATTTTCTTGTTTTTGTGAAGAATAATTTAGTTAACCTAGGTTTATTTTCTGCTTCATTGTGTCAATTAATCCAATAGTTCATGATAAAAGAATTATTTCATGTCTTTTTTCGCAGTTTTTGAAGTAACTTTTTTGGGGGGTCTTGGTTTTTTGCGAGTTTCTGGGCAATTCGAGGGAGTTATTCGTTCTATATGTAGCAGTAAAACTTGGATCAATTTTCTAACTCCAAAAAGATTAAAAACATTCACAAATCCTTACAAAAGAGAAACATGAAACCAGACGTTGAAATTGATCATCCCAAGTCGGGAAAATAAAAATTAAAAAAAAAATTCTTATAACAAACAAGAATGTGGATAATAAACATCATTGGACGTAGAGCAACTCTTGTAGTTACGCAGGCAATGAAAAAACTTTCTTATCCTCGCGAAAAACCGCCCGTTTCTAAGTTTGAAATCCTGCATCTTCTTCAAATTTCTTGCTGATCTAAGCCTCCTGCATATAACCCTTTTCACTTTAATGGGAAATTTATTAAACCGCTCTCTGACAGTTTGCTTCCTGCTGAACTTGTAGCTTCTCAAGAATATTTGCCTCTTCTCCATCTTAATTCTGAACGTGTCCATTAAATCTGCATTCGTATCGTTAAGTCCCATACTTAAACACGAAAATTTGTGCTGCGCTCTTATAGAGTTTTGAAGGGAGGAAGAATATATGGCAAATAGATTGAGGGAGAGGGTTTATATATACATAGAGTAAGAAGGAATTGGACTTCTCTAATTTCTTGTATGGTATGGTAAGGATAGGACTTCTCTATTTTGCATATTTCGATTGTGGGTCGCTTGATATGGTGAAGTACTAGATTAGTAGGCCGATTGTTTAATCGATTGGTCACGAATTGAAGTAATATATCAATATTGGTTAACCGTCAATTAAAAAAAATATTGCGTGAATATAATCAAATATCAAAAGTTATAGTGTCCCGTATTGAAAAAAAATTATGTAGCATTGTAATTTAATAATGAAAATATCTTAAATAATCTCATTATTATTTTAAATCAAAATCAAATATATATTTTTCAAATTCTTTTAATTCTGTGTAACGCATTTTTTAGATAACCAATTATTAACATAATAATGATTGATTATTGAAAATTTGAAATTGCAATAACTTCCTTGTGAGAATAATTACTGTCCTAATATTGTTACAAATTTGTATTCACCGTTTTAACTTAATTTCCTCCTTACCAAATATTTGATTTTTACGTTTATATTGGATTATTTTGAAGTTGCAACTATATATGAACGTCATTAATCGTATATATATTTATTTTACTAAGATGTGAAATGCTTAATATCAATCAATTGTTTGTAAAGCAATTTGTATCAATATATAAAAAGAAAAGCTATGAGACTCCAAGATACTCCATTTGTAATTTTATAATATTTTTAATTGTTTTTACTGCTTTATTTTATGTTTATTTATTTAAAGAGAAGGAAAAAATCATAACTTAATGGTCAAAATAGAGGGAATGACGAGTTATCTAATTGAAAGATTTCGGATTTATAATTTCAAAAAAGGTTGATAGTAGATTTATTAATTTCGCAAATGTTGAAGAAGAATCGCCCTCGAATCTTTTATCGTGTCTTCAATCAATAACTTGCAATCATCTGCTAGTCCCTTCAACCTATTTTTCTGCTTCGTAATTAAATTTATTTACATCAAATTAATTTTACACCAATTTGGTGTAGTGTTAAAGATGCCCTTGTGATTTATTTTTAGTATGTGCGTCGCTTTAATTATAAAAAAAGCAATTTCATATTTATACATTTAGTCTCAACATTTTATGAGACCAATCATATAAATTGGTGAGTTCTTTAATAGAGATAAATAACATTATTCATAAGATTGAACGTTGAGGGTAATATGTTTTAATTTTATTAATAATAGACTTGGTCTGATGCCAAAGTGGGCATGAATTATAATGGCGTGGCAACATCCGTTGAATTATAATGGCGTGGCAACAAAACAACGGATGTTGCCGCGCCCATTATAGACGTGAAAACACAATATCGAATGTAGTTACGTTCATGATGGACATTATAATTCATGCGCCACATGGCAACATCTGTCGATTGCGGTCATTAGATCATTTCTGTTATTAGTAATAATATTATTAATATCAATTATCAAAGACAAGTAGATAATCACCAGACGAGATTTATCGTGCAAAATTGGTTGTCCAACTTACTATTCATTCAACGATTATTGATACTCAATTTAAATTAATATGTTTAACTTTTCTCTCATTACCACTTATACTTAAAAATATACGTAAAATAATGTATCAAAAAATATAACAAATTGAACAGCCAATTTTGGAGCATCTCAACTCACATTGCATTACCTAACGATGACAACAAATGCTTTTTAAGTAGCCATTATTTCCTGTCTGTCCCACTCCAGCATTAACACGCTTTCCCACCCCAATTTCATCTCAAATTCGTCTTCAACACCAGCAACAGATCTACTTTTAATCGATCTTTTCCATCTCCTGGAAGTGTTTGTTACCAGTGTTGCAGCGGACGGTTCCCCCAAAATTTCCTCTTTGATTTGACCATCAGGTTAGTCGTATTCTTTCAGTAATTCATTTCTGATTTTAAGATATGTAGTATAGTTGTTATATAACACGCCCATTTCTCATTTTCTTGTTTTTGTGAAGAATAATTTATTTAACCTAGGTTTATTTTCTGCTTCATTGTGTCAATTAATCCAATAGTTCATGATAAAAGAATTATTTCATGTCTTTTTTCGCAGTTTTTGGAGTAATTTTTTTCGGGGGTCTTGGTTTTTTGCGAGTTTCTGGGCAATTCGAGGGAGTTATTCGTTCTATATGTAGCAGTAAAACTGTTGAAGTTACTGCAATCAAGTGAAAAAGCCAAAAGGTTTGCATTCTGTTTTTTAACAATGTCCCATTTTTTCCTATTACAAAATTTTGACATTTTATGACGGGTTTATTGTTGAATTAGGCGTTTGGAGAGGCTTTTTGGTGAACAAATTATAGTATTTGTGGCAAATGGGCCCTATATTCTACATACTGATAGCTTTGCCTTGTACAATTGGGGCAATTGCATTGGCGCTTCTCCACATTTACAGGCATCTCATGAATTATACTGAACCCACATATCAGAGATTCATAGTCCGAATTATCTTTATGGTTCCTGTAAGTATTCAGCTGGCTCCATTATTGATTCTCATTACATCACATCTATTTCACTCTTCTTCATGCATTTGACTTTAAGGTTAGGCTTTGTGTTAAGTTCAAATTGTAATTGGCAATTTCCTAAGTCAAAATCAAGTTTTAGTTGAAATGTATTAGGCATTTATTGAGTTATAATCAAAGTCAGTTAAGGATTCGTAGTATATGTCTTGGAGGAGTCCAAGATGTCAAAGATGTCCAAGAAGATTAAATATAATCAAGGGAATGCAATGAGAAGTCTAAAGGGTATTAAAAAGTTGCACGAGTTATTCTCCAAATTCTTAATTGCAACTTGATACGCTTTTTCACATAGAAAACATTCGAATTTGGAAAATACTATTTTTAGAAGATTGTAGCTCTTTGAGTCAGCTTTCAACGCATTTTGAATCACATCAATCCAATATCAGGAGAGAAAATTATAATGAAATTACCGACAATTGTTCAACTGTCGCTCGTCTAGCATTAGCCTAGCTCTCGAGCGATGGGTAGATGTCCAAAATTTTATTTTGCTTCAAACACTAATTTTTCAATTCATTTTCATGTCAAACACTTTTCCCTATATATATCCTACCCTATGAACGTCCAAAAGTGTATTGAGTCATATTATACCATAGAGATAGTTCCTTGAAGATCCAAATCATCATTCTTTAGTCTCTAGATTCAACCACCATAACATGGTGTTCATAAAATCTTTCCAAGGCAAGATATTTCTTTGAACCATAAATTATTTCATTAATTGATATATATATATTGAGCCAAATATTTTCACATTCTTAGATATTAAATTAAACCACAAGTCAAAACACACAAGAACTTTGATCAAACACCAAACCTACCTTTACCAATTAGCTTTCAGAGTTAATGGAGTTATGGGAAGAGACGCTAGGAGTTCTGGCGCTGCGAACAAAGTTCCATTAGAAGAACGAGGAATTCTTCATTTAATCCACAGAAGATAAATCGATATTAGGGATCGGGAGCTATTGCAAAAGCACAGATTCAGGAGGACTAAGATGAGGTACCAAGAGTCGGGATCTAGTGTCAAGAGCACGCAGCCCAGGAGTGCTAAGGTATAAACTAGGAGTCAGAATTTGTTTTGAAAAAGCAAACCTCCATTAAGATCAAGGAAAACTACAAGAATTGATGCCAGAAGTTCTACGGGATAGACGGGTTTGGTGTGTATTGTAAGTTTGCTTCAATTCATAGAGGATTATTGATTGACAAAGTCCCGGGAGTTTTTACCCAGTTAGGATTTCTCCGTGGTTATCTTTGGTGTTCTTTACTGTTTTAATTATTGATTGTGGCATTCAAACCATCAAAACATGGGATAATTGAACTTGATTGACTAATCACCTGGAAACAATTAGT